AAAACACTTATTAAAAAAGCTTATTACAAAGTGTCTGATTATATTACAGACAAAAATGCTTGGGTTTGAACTGTTCCAATCATTCCAACAGGTTTTCTATATTAAATAAATCATAATTGTATTGACGTTGTAACAACATAATGAATTGTAAATGTTGTTACATTAGACTTTTAATGTTGTGGAGTTTTTTTCGCTCGTTTTTCTCCGCAGCTAAAAAATATGTCCATAACGAGTGGTAGGGAAAAAAATTTTTGGACGATTCAAAAGAGTTGTACTATACATCCAATTTTTATAAAAATATATTGATTTCTGATTTCTGATTACAGGTGCAAATAAACATAAAATTCAAGTACTTATTTCAACTAAGGAAGTAAGTTTTAACAGTCACTTTATCGTATCAGAATTATGATTTCATATTTTCCATTTAACTAATTTGATATCTAAATCAGTAGAGTTTTTGTTTTGCGCTCTTATAGTTCTTTCTTACTGTTACATCATCAATAGAACATGCTTGTCCATACAATTTCAAAATATCACTGTTATATTGTACTAGTTTATTTTTTGTCTAACTGTTTAATTACTTTAACTCGGTTATATTCAGCATGAAAATAAAACAAAACAAGTCCAAAGGCTTTGTAGAAAAGAATTATTATTTACTATGCTTTAAAAGTCAGCGTGAACAATAACATATAACGACACGTGTGTCACCCGCGACATGTTTACGATTCAACTTTCTTCCAATTTATGTGAAAGTAACGTATGTTCTCGACAAAAAAAACATTGATAGGCATATTATGTATATGATAGGCATATGTTTAGTCAACGAAATTCATTTTCTTGGAAAACGCATAAATTATTAGTGAGGTTACAAAAAAACTGACCAAGCGCGAGTCCGGCCTCGCTCTATTAGGGTCCCGTAAAATTATTTGTTTGTTTTCGCCACAACTTACAAAGTACATTATGAATCGACTTTTTCAGTATTTTTTGTTTAAATACAGAATATGGGACATTATATACTAATATTTCCCATCTTTAACTAGTTTTAATTTTGATATGTAACAAAAAACCGGCCAAGTGCGAGTCGGACTAGCCCACGAAGGGTTCCGTACCAAAAACGGCTAAACAAAATTACGTCTGTTGTATTGAGACCCCAGTTATATATTTATTTTATTTAAATTCAATTATATATTTTATTTAGTATAAGTGAATATACAACTAAATACTCTGTGAATATAATAATAATAATAATAATAATATAATAATAATAATAATATAATAATAATAATGGTTTATTTATCTTAAAAGTTACAATTGCTCTTATATACTAATTAGAGGAATTAAATCTTAAATATTTTTTTACATATAAGAGGTTCGTTGACGGCTGTACTAGTATTAACTGTGTCACAACCGTCAGCGACTCCTTCCATGATATTTTGTCATGGGATGCACAATAATTAACCTTATTTAAACCATCTAAAGTACCTAACTAACCAAAAATAAGAAAACATTTAAATTTTGTTTTGTTTTATACCGACTGTGCTTTTGCGCGTGTGTGTGTGTGTGTGTGTGTGTGTGTGTGTGTGTGTATGTGTGTGTTTGTGTGCGTGTGTGTGTGTGTGTGTGTGTGTGTGCGTGTGTGTGTGTGTGTGTGTGTGTGTGTGTGTGTAGCATATGGGTGATTTATTTAACAACAGATAGAAGATTTTCTGTCTCCATATAGTTCAGGTTTTGAAGCCAGTCCCTGAGTTTTTCTTTACACTTAATATATATTAGTGGATAAACATTATTGTTTTTGTTTGCCAAGTTATAAAGCTGAGATGCACTGATGTAGAACTGTCGACGAGCAAGGGTAGATCTATGTGGTTCAATCATACAGACATTTCTTCCTACACGCTTTGTGATGGGTTTGTATTTAAGGTATTTATGTCTTCGAAGTACCGACAATTGTATATATAATTGCCTAACTGTAAGTACAGAACTTTCCCTATAAAGAAGAGAGGTGCTGTATTTTCGAGGTTTACTATATATGATTTTCAGTATAGCCCTCTGTGCACGCTCAAGCGGGAGTAAGATACCCTTTCCAATACCACCCCACACCACAATACAATATTGTAGTGTACTTTGGATGAGAGCGTAGTATACACTCATTAAGGTTTGGGAGTCCGCTGAAGCCCTTAGCTTTCTAAAAATAGCGGTTAGTTTTCTAAGTCGACCTGTTAGGTTATTTACGTGAGTTGACCAACTTAAAGTCGTGTCAATGGTAAGACCTAGATATTTCAAATTTGTGAGGCGTATCAGAGGAATACATTCGCATGAAATATCACTATCACAAGTATGGGGCACAAGAGAAAAATCAGGACCCGGAACATTAGACACACGATGAGCGAAAGTAATGTAGCTAGTTTTGCTCAAGTTCAAGGTGAGTAGATTATCATCTAGCCATTGTATTACATCTCTTAGAGTATGTTCCGCTAATCGTCTTGCATCCTCCCAGTCTTTCCCGTGAATGATCAGAGCTGTATCATCAGCATAAGTGATGACTTGGCAATTTTGCAATGTTTTTGAACATAAACCGTTTATATACACCAGGAAGAGAGTCGGACCCAAGACGCTGCCTTGAGGTACTCCAAAAGAGATGGTTGTGGGAGTGCTAATATAGTCACCAATCTTTACACTCTGTGTGCGATTTGATAGATAGCTGCGAAACATGTTTAAGGCTATGCCTCGAATACCAATCACTTCCAACTTGTGTAGTAAGAGAGGGATAGAGACCGTATCAAAAGCCTTGGAAAGATCCAAAAAGACACCCAATACCTTTTTCCCATCATCAAGATGCCTTACAATTGTCTCCGTTAAAAGTAAAGTTGCATCTTCTGTAGATTTTCCCCTTACAAACCCGAATTGATTATCTGAAATTATTTTATTATGAAAAAGAAAGCTCATTAATCTACTATTTAGGACCTTTTCAAATATTTTTGAAAGAACCGTTAGCACCGATATCGGTCTATAGTTATCGACACGGTCTCTATCGCCACGTTTGTAAATAGGGTGAACTAAAGCCTGCTTCATAACATGAGGAAAAGTACCCGTAGCCAAACATAGATTATAAAGATGTGTCAGTGGGGGAATCAGGCTAACTCTCGCTTCTTTAACAATCTTTGTTGAAATATTATCAGCACCTCTGGAAGCACAATTTTTAAGTTTGATAATAATGTTATTTAATTCTTTAAAGTCAGTTTCAAGCAATACTAGCGAGTCTCTGTTTGAATTTGTATCACAATTTGCATTTGGTATTTTCCCAGTTTTTTGTGTTTTTTGAATATCCTTAGCCAGTCTTGCGCCAACTCCTGCGAAATATTCATTAACTACCTGTACGGATTTGCATGGGTCAGAGTCTAAGTTAAGTAGGTCATTGCAGCGCTGAGTAGTTTGTTTAAAATTTGTGATATTGTTAATGACTTGCCACATTCCTTTTGGGTTTTTCTTGTTTTTATTTAATTCAGCCTTTTCATATTCTACTTTTATTTTTTTTAATAGATTGTTGCAGTAGTTACGATATCTCGTGTATGTAATTGAAAGTATAGCATTGCCTTTATCTTTTTTATATGTTTTGTGAAGTTTATCACGAGTTCTGATACAGCGCAAAAGTCCAGATGTTAGCCATGGCTTGATAGGACGCATACGATGTGGCATGATAATTTCACAAGAGTGGACCCGAATAACTTCAGCAATAGTATTTGTCAGCGCGACCGCCGCCAAATCAGCGTCAACAGTATTATATACGTCATGGAAATCTGCGTTACAAAGGTCTTTGACAACTGAGGCATAATCAATTTTTAGGTACGTTTTCTTACAATTGTTTCTTCGGACCTTCAAGTCAAGGCAGAATAGTAAAGGAGAGTGGTCAGTTATAAGGGAGTCTAGTACAATAGTGGTGGAACTTTTATCTGATCTCACCATAACATGGTCTATACAGTTTTCATTTCGAGTTGGGAAAGTGTGGCCTGGAAGTAGTCCATGGTGTGCCATCAAATCTAGATATTGGCTTTTGTTGGCTTCTGAATTATTCGTGGAGATATTAATATTTATATCACCGATTAAAACTACCGATTTAACCATATTCAAGGATGACAAACAGTGGTCAAGATTATCACAGAAGTTTGTTAAATTACAATATGATGGCGAACGGTAGATGGCTAAAATAGCATAGTCATTGTCATGGTTCAGAATAAGACAGTTTGCATCAAAATGTACTGGTATGACAATATTATGTTTTATATCTGATTTCACGTACATGACCACACCCTCATTCTGGTTACGGTAATCAGAAAAGTAAGAAATATAACCATCCATTACAGGAAGAGCAGTAACCTTACTCAGCCAGCATTCAGTTAGAATAAGAATGTCGCAATGAACACATATTTTTTCCAGTAGTACTAGTAAAGAATCATAATTGTGTGAAATACTACGGATGTTTGTATGAAAAATTGACAAGGATACTCTATCTTGGTTTATATGATTAACAAGATTTTCAGGGCTGCTGACAATCGATTTTGATATACATAAAGAATCAATTTCATTGGAAACATCGTCTAAGCTCAGCATTTTGAATTTGAAAAACTATTTAGGCACATCTTTAAGTGATTTAGAAAGTAAAAACAAATAAAGTGTAAGGGAAGATTTCTATCCATTTGTATGCAGTGTGACTGGTAAAAATGATTGTAGCATGACATATGTATGAGTGCAAGCAGTGTGCTAGGCAAGACTGAGTAATTATTTTGTAAGTGTAAGATGAGTTTGATTATTAGGCCCGTTGAGTTTAAATGTTTTGTATGGGGTGAGTAGCATAATAATGTGAAAGAGGCAAATGAGTGAGTGTTTGCAACAAAGTGGTAAACAATTTTTGTGTAGATGGAACTAGTACGACAGTAAGCAACAAGGCTAATTATAACTAAAAACAATACACAAACTAACAGAAAATACAAAATTAGGAAAAACAGTCACAAATCAGGGTGAGATTGCAAATACAAAAGGTCTGATTCTTTACTGATACAGCGAGCAGGAGCGCCTTCTCTTTTGCGTAGAAAAACTCTGCCATGAGAAGTCCAGCAATATGCATAGTTATTAGTTTTGCTGAAATCTCTTGCCAGGAAATACATTTTCTTAGCTGACAAAGTGAGACATTCAGCAATGAAGATCGGTTTCTTCTGCCCTTCAAGCTGTATCAATTCAGTATTTAATTTGTTGTCCTTGTTCTTCCGGTTGTAAGACTTTACTGAAGTTAGGATACTTTCCTTTATAAGAACAGACGTGAAGTCAATAATTATAGGCTTAGCTTCTCCCTTATTTGAATGTGGGCGGAAAACATCTCGTACCATGGACTGCTCGAAGGAAACATTTACTGTATCAGCTACTTTTTTAACCAAATTAAGAAGGTCCTCCTTTGTTTCTTTTTTGCTCATAGGTATATTACGGATCTCCAGACCAGACTGCTTTCCGATTCTTTCTAAATTTTCCACTTTAGATTCTAAAGTCTGTATATACGATAGATGGTCTCTTCGTTCTGTTTCCATTTTTGTCAATTTCTCCTTCATTTCCTCGTATTGGGACGAGATAAACTCCATTGATTTGATTAGATCAATATTCTGTTGCTGAACATCCTTAATACAGGCTTGAATTGTATCTTGCTGTTTTTTAAATGTTTCCATGTTTGTTCTCATCTCCGACATAAAGGTGGACATTTCTTCGCCGTGTGGGCGTTTCCGTGCCCTTGGCTTACTTGTGGCGCTAGTGGAGCCCTCGTTTTCGGTATCCGTAACAGGAGCGGAACTTGGATTAGCATCCGATTCAGTATTTATATGTGGTGTTTTTGGGGGTGTCCTTTTTAGGGGCATTTCGAAAAGCAAGTGTATATCTATGTAGCTGTAAGCAAAATATTCCAAGCAAAGCGTGGTAAAGCACTAACAAGCAATTTACAGTACAAGAGCATACAAGAAAAATATTCATACACAAGTTTCCTTTGTGGGTCCCAAACTTCCATAAAATTACCACTTCTGGGGAGATTACTTTGTTATATGGCAACACTCATCAACTTGTCAACATCAAAAATAGGACTGTCAGTTGATTTTGACGGCTGCCAGAATCAAATTTGACACTGTCAATTGAAACTGACACTTGAGATGTGTGGAAAAATGAGGGTATTCGATTTTTATCAAGTTATTAGGTAGTAAGTAGGTACAAAATTCCAATTTAACTTTTGTTACTTGTGAGATCCATGGGCGGAGTACAGTGCTGATAACAATATCGCTGATGTTGAAGATAGTGCTTTACACGATGGTGTTACTGTTTATCACTTTTTCAACTTGTTTGAGGTGCAAATTTATAAAGTATCGAGAGCGATATTTACACTTAGGCAATGTTGCCAGACTTCTGTATATAAGTGTCTTCCTGTTGCTGTCATTAATATAGAACAAAAAAGGAAAAAAACACGTTTGTTGTATGGGAAGTTGGTTCCCGTCAGTGCTGTCATATCTACGAACTTTTTGGTAGATCTACCAATTTTCACTTCAGTCTACCTATCTACCACCCTAAACCTAATAACTACCTATTTTTTAATTAGTTTGACATATCACCACTTTGAATTATTTTTATATCGACGAGCGACGTTGCGATGTATTGCGTGAGCCATGCAACGATGCGTCAAGCATACATAGAGTCCAGGCCATAAACCACAAAAAAAAACGTCAGCAACAGTTCGCCATGAGTTCGGCGTTCGCACAATTTCGCGCCCATATTTTACTATTCCTACTGTGGCCTATTCCCGGTTGGTTTGTTGCGGAATCAATGTTGAATCTTTGCTCCTGTTTTATTGTAAAAACTAATTAACTGCGTATTAATGGTGCTAATTGCTGTTTGTTCTATGTTGCGTGCATTTATTTATATAATGGATTCTGACAGCAGCAAAAGCGATGCACATAGCAATGCAGAGGCATTGCATGAATTTTTAACCTTAAAAAATCTTCTAAATTGGGGTGGTAGATCTACCAATTTTGCATTTTACATTCTACCAACTTCTACCAACATTTGGCACATAATCTACTAATTTTATAAAATTCGGGTTGGCAGCACTGGTTCCCGTTTTTACCCTTTGGTTACGGAACCCTAAAAATGGCCTAAAAATATCAATTTTGACGTTTTTTTTTGTTATTTAACATATGAAACATTATAATATTTATATCCAACTCAATGAGCTTTAGACAATGATGGGTAACATGCTGTGGTAAAAAAAGTAAAAAAAATCATCTCCTTTTTAAATATGGGACCTGCTATAAAAATCATTTAATTGAACTTTTGGCTAAATATTTGATATCGGGCAAGCATTCTACATAAAACACCAAAACTTCAGCTCTGTTACTTATTCCGTTTACGATCTAAAGACCCGTGACATACGGACAGACAGACGACAGAGTGACAGCAACAGGATTCCGTTTTTACTCTTTGGGAATGAAACCCTAAAATTATCATAAATCTGCTTTTATCGTTAAATTACAGATATAGTTGAAGTCTTAATGACATCAATGTCTTGTTGTGTGGTGTATATTATAAAGAACGACATAATATGTACGCAGTGTAAAATTTGGTACTTAACTTACTGCAGAACATAATATCGATTACTTTATTACCAGTAAAATGTAGCGTCACAACTACGCATTTCACCGCTCCGTTGAGCGCAGGCCACGCCGAAAGCGACGGAGTGAAGCTTAAGATCATAAGAAATGTAGGGAATAGTAACATTTTTTGCTTGGAAATGGCCATCCATCAATTGAAATAAATCCCACCTTACAGAAGACAACCAAAGATGTGTTACATAGGTGAGTAAGGTTCCAGGACTCCACGGGATTCAGGTTTAGGTTTCAGCAAGAACATTAAGGATAGCAGCTGGGGTGGAACACTATTTTTCCACCCACCATCTATCTCACCTACGCATAACATCAGTTGTGGTGGGGTAATTTGTTTTGTGTTTTAATCTGTTTTGCCTTTTATGTGGTAAAAAAACTATAGGAAACGAAATGACGTTGTTTGCGGTGTGAATTCAAGACTCAATTACTTAATTAAGATGCAGTAGCGGTTACAGCGTCATGAAACTAAGCTCGTATCGCTTCCAGTGTAGCCTTTACTTTATGTATTGCAGTGTGATATTCCTGTTACTCAGTTATTATTACAATTTCTTCTTCATTCTTCTATAAATAAATAAATCATGAATATAAGAAAGACTGATAGGTTATTCTTATGAATACACATATTACTTACAAAGTAGTTAACAATATCTGGTGACCATTTCGAGCATTTTCGAGTACTGCAACTAATAATCAATATAAACCTTGATTTGATCTATCCCCTCGAAATCAAGTGATGATTACGATATCGCTGTTATAGCAATTTATTTTACTATTACGGAAAAAGCGCAATATTTATGATGCATATTGCTTTTTTTAAATTTTTTGGGAAACTTACAGCTCTCTCTCTTGCTTGCTATTCTGCATAATATTTATGTTTAAGGCCAATTAATAGTTTCCGCAGATAATTACAGTAATAATTAACAAAATCGGCATGCAGTACACGTGATGCTTAAATGCATTATTAAGTAGGTATGTATACTATATTTGATACTTATAAGCAATTAAAAATAGAAAGATATAAAATACATAGTTCTAGTACTGGGCTCAAAGAAAAGATTATTGAATTGTTAAATGAATTTTTAGCCGTCACAAAACAAATCTACATCTAATTGGCCTGATCAGTACTGGTTAAAAGTGTGAGGAGCGCTAATTGTAAAAGAATTTCGACGGTAACGGCACGGTAAAGATTTTTAGTATGTCCAGTGTTTTTTTTACATCTCATATATCATACCACTTTCCAGCGTACATTGAACATGAAATAACGCCTATAACTCGGCGCATCCAACCTTGAATAAGCACAAAACGAGGGCCGCACCACAACCAAGTGCTGCTCAAATATAAAGTGCCTTAAGAGATATTACTTAGCTAGTATATTCCAATATTTGCGTGGGAGCTTATTTGCTCACAAATATGAGACGTTATCAAATGGCACTTAATATAGAACTGACTATAAAATTGCGAGTTTGATTTAATAAGTGTCAATGAAATGTCATTGCGCGAAGGTAAAATATTATTTACATTATGGTAAGTTATTAATTCCCAGATTTACTTAAAGGTGTGTCATTACTACACCTACTTACTAAATTAAAATTTTCTTTTTAAACTTGTAGGTAACGAAACAAGTGAACAACGGTCGTAAATTTAATATTAAATTGTCCATGTATTATTATAATAACTACACTACCTCTGTTTTATCCTCTCATTATTTATTATTTTTGTGATATTAATGTTGTCTACATAAAAGGCTTTGCAGCAACTACAGAAGATTTAACGATGACGAAAAAGAGGATAGTAATTTGAAAAAATAAAATAAAATAATGTTACATGCACGGACATAGAACGTCGATGTCTCGTCGTTATAAAATTACTCTAATGTATTTATTGTGTTTATACTAACTTCTCATGGTTTCTTTATATGTAGGGTATATATTTGAATTTCTACCTAAACGATTATAATAAAAGTTCAGTTCAGATAAGAATACAGTATTATATAGTTCCGAAAAATAGAATGCCAATTTAAGATACGCAGAACGAACGATCTATCAATCTCTCCGGAACTACACATTTACTATAGTTCAGTCAGTTCCGTCTGCGGGGTCACCTGGATCAATCATCACAAATTCGTGATAATCCACACTCAATTCGGCGATAGTGTAACAGGCTCTCGGGCACTAATCGGGACTTCGCGTGATTCCCATCGGTTCAATTAATAAAATGGATGATGCCGCTCACGGCTAGACAACAAACTTGTGTTACACTATTATTATAACGAACGTCCTTTGATTACTTAATTAACTTGCCTTCGTTTGCATTTAGGATTGTGGGTATTGATGCCTTGCCGATTAATATAATAAAACAAAATTATTATATTTAATGAAATCCAATAGCAAGTCATTGCTGTATGATATCTAATTATCAGAAAAAAATACAAGCCCACATTATTTTTTTGATAATTTTAATAATTAAATTACAAACTATTCAGGATTATTGTTAACATTATTTATTTATTCGTTCGATATCTGTATATAGCTCTTTGAACATTAGTGTTATTTGTGTATTAGAGCTAAAATCCTGTTCGATCCCGGTTCAACGTCGAAAGGAATTGTCCGTTGATGTGTGAATAACGACAAGATTTAAATCCGCTCAGCCATCCGAAACCAAAATACGCCCGGCTTTATAAACCATCAGTTTGCTTTCACAGTATGGACTGATTAATGAATGAATTTAGTGTGTCCACTATGTGGGGAAATTTTGGTAGGCGGAATGGTATGGCATAACAGACAGGCCGGTTGGGTCGGATGGTTGAATGCGCTAATTTGCATGCGACTATGGCACTTTTCATCATCGCCTGTCGTGCATTGTGCGTGTTTTCGACAACAGTGAAGCAGTAAATATTTTCTCCCGTGTGTATTTTTGTCGCTGTATTGTTTTTGCTTTATGCGAACACATTATTATGTACCCTTGTTACGGACGCATCAAACCGAGTTACTATGTTTGTGTTAACATAGATGAAGTTTAAATTTTCATATAATATATTCCCGCAGTGAAACGTAGCCTATGTGTTAATCCAGAGTGTCAGCTAACTCCATACCTTTAATTAAAATCGATCCAGCCGTTTAGACGTGAAAAGTAACAAACATACACACTCACACACTCACAAACTTTCACCTTTATAATATTAGTGTGATTATTATTATTGAACTGCAGAAAATAAG